GTTTGTAACCATGAGTCTTTGGAGGTGAGTTATGACTGTCTTATTGAATTTTTGATCCAGCTTTAGACATTTATCGAAAAATCCAATAGGAATATTCTACTAGTTATTCGATCTATTTATGGGATGAAATCTCAGATAAAAAAAATTCAGTAAAACCGTCATAATTCGGCTCTAGACGCCTACAGGCATAAATCCGTTTAGAATTTCTCTAGTCTTACCAAGATCTCCTTGTGAATCCAATATGAGCTCAAACAGCGAGTATCAGTTCGAGTAGTTCTGAAAGTCTTAATGAGTACGAAAATTTCTCTCTTGAAGTATTCAATATATTCAAAATACGAGGACGCAGAATATTACATCTACTTGAATCAAGCGATACATGTTTGTTTTCATTGAAACTTTCAGGACTATCGAATGTGTCTATAGGCAAATTTGCAATTCGCAACTCTTTTTTTTTGATTTTTTTAGAAATATCTTTCTCTTAGTAAAAACTTCAGTAAGACGGTCATTACTCTCTATCAATAAACCATAGACTTCATAAAGTCGAATAGTTGGATATGTTTTCTCGTTATAATTTGGTATCTCGTAATATGAACCTATAGTGCAAGATTGTTTTCGATAAAGTGAGGAAGAACACTAGAACTAGACTTGGACACAATGAACTCTCTCGTGCTTTAATATGATTTAAAAAAAAATCAATTGATTCTTTTGGTTTTCTATCCTATGGCAATGTATGGAGTAGTTTTTATGAAGTTGATTTCATCAATTCATATATGAAAATTTTTATCTATACAGAAGTCTATTTAGAAGAGAATCACTTCAAGTGTTTTTATCATAAATATTTCGGGAACATTAGCGCCTATAGTATCAAAAAAAAAGACGCTTTGTTCTCAAGAAACACTCAATATGTTGATAAAAAAGCATCTGGTTTCACATAACTAATTAGTTATCTTACGAACTATCTGAGTTGTACGTAGATCAGATTCCAAATCGAATCATCTATTTTGGTTTCTTGTGAACCGACTTATTCTTCACTAAAATCACATTACAATATTGAAAATTTCCAAAATGAACACCATTTCTGTTTTAACACAATGGATTTGTCCCTTGTGAAAAATTTCTTTCGTTAAAACCAAAGTTATTGATATTTTCTAAAGGTAGAAGGGGCTAAAAATTCTGCAGAAAGTGCTTTTATTCTCTGAGTACTAGAAATGATGATTAGGCGACGTAACTCGACTTCACTCACACCAGATGCTCTACCACCAAGCTATCCTTCTTTTAAGATCTACCTTAATCCTATTCACTTCGCCACGACATTATCTGTTTATTTTATTTCATTTTCTACTAGAGAAAGGCAAACGGCATTTTAAAATTCGGTTTCTCTTTAAAGTTATGACGAAGTTGTAAAAAATTGATAAAGAGTCAGATATTTTGAGAGGACATGGAAGTCTCCGCCTAATCGAAAACCCTTGGTTGAAATTAATAAAATACTCTTTTCTGATACATTCATTTATCTTAAATATCTATTTTTGTTTTGCTTAATATAGTTTTATCAAAATGAACTTTAATTATACAAAGAATAAATCTATTCATACCTAAATCATCGAGCTGTTGATGTCGATCATAAAATTGATTCTTAACACAAACCATTGTTGCACGAGTAGTCTGTTTAAGAAGTGTTTCAAGTATTCGTATAGGATCTCTTGGACGAAGAGGTATTTTATTTTCAATAAAATCCCAAAGAACCTTAAGAAATAAAAAAAGAATCATACATTATATTGTTTCTTACTAAGTAAATTCAAATATAACCTGTATATCATAAGATTTTACAAGATTAATAAGTAATAAACGATATTTTTGTTCTCGATCACTTTTTTTATCTTTAATCATAATTTCATATTGATTTTTAAAATCAACAAGTAATTCAATTGAATAAAGACTTTTTCCTTCATCATACCAAACAAATGGAAAATTTTCACGATCAATTATTTTTTTTAAAACAAAAAACCGATCATCTTTTTTTGCTGGACGCCATGTACCATCACGATTTGCTGCTTCTAATTCAATATCATATTGATGACATTTTAATGTTCGAGGTATATGACATTTAAAATGATTTGTATAAAATTGTAATTTTTGACCAGCTAAAATAAAAATTGAATAATAATTTGTTTTGTTTTCTTTGTGACAATCTAAATTACCTGTTCCACCTCGATCTGGTCGTTTAGCCATTGTTATAACAGATGTATCCGGTACAGCCGAACGAATTGAATGTCTAAATGGTCGTATTGATCTAGTACGACCAATTGATGAATGTGATGTTGATTTATGATGTTGATCGGAAGATGATTTGTGTCCTGATGATGATGGCAGATGATTTTTTATACCATTTTCTTCAGTTTTTTCATAAATTTTCTCAGGTATTATGGCCATTGATTGAGATCGATATGGTTCAAGTGGACCTATATCTGGTCGATTTGCTCTTTCTAAACAAAACAATGATTTAAAATATTCTAATACATAATTTCTAGACTTACTTCCACGACCTCGACCACGTGGGCCTGATGTTGACATGGATTTAGTTTGAAATATGGAGGAAAAAAACGATGAGATTTATCTGAAAAAGAATATGAATAATCATTTGGAGAGAATACGAATTCTGTTAAAAGTTAAAATAATGAGGAAGAATAATTCAGAATTTTTAATTCGATGTCTTTATGTTTGTGAATTTGGTAGCTGAAAAAAAGTAGAATAACAATTAAAAACCAATAGTATATAAGAAGTAAAATCTTAATAATATCAGAAATAGGCGACATCTTAGTCTGCTTTAGATAATAAAAATTTCTATAATGTTTCATAGAGATAAATCGATTCTTTTTCTATATAAGATTCCCATTCATAGAAACCAATAAATGTAAATCATCAAAATTCTTATACAATTCCTTTTATAAGTTTTTGTAGAAATAACTTTTCCATTTACAGTACAAATGAAGATAAACTGTTTTGAATAAACATTCATATACGAGTTTAGTTTATGTTAACAATTGAAAGATTGTAATATTTTCTAGAGGAACAGGTTTCTTGGAAAATTCGTATTTTAGAGTTTTCTTTTGTCTAAAACTTCGCTCATATAGAGGACTCAACTAGACCGAATTCCATAGAACGGTCCAGAAGTTTTGAACAAAATCTCTTTGAGGTATGAAACTTTCAAAAAACGCATGTGCTATACAATATTTATAGAAAAGAGTCAATATCTTGAAGAAAAATTGCTCAAAACTTCTGATTTTGTTTTATGGTAACAAATTCAATTGAGTTCTCCTATATGCACAAAATTTCAAATCAAAATTTGAAAAACTGGTGCCTCTAGAATCCAGTAATCTTGCATTAATCTCTATTGATTTTCGTTCCATGAGTATTAATTGCCGATTATGCTGGGTATATACATCAGATCAAATCTTTGACTAATAAAGTGATACCAAGATAACTGGAACTGATACACACCTAGTCCGTAGACGTTCGTAAAAATATGTAAACTTATACACTGGTTTCTTAGCTGTTTATTATCCGTTACAAATACTAATATCCGTTGGTACTCTAGTCATGTTAGTTTACAGTTAAAGTGTCGTCATCAGACAACATGTAGTACAAAAAAGTAATACATAACTAGATTTATGAAGAACATTCATGTGTATTATATTAATTTGTACTACACAAAAGTAGATTATGTTCAAGTTTTGAATTGTTATTATATCAATAGTGACTAGTCCTTATGGATTTAAGATGAAAACATTATAAAACACGATGAAAGTCATCAAATTGAAACAGTAGAATCATCGATGATTCTCTCACAGCGACTTTTTACCTATTATTATGGCCAATGTTTACTTGTACTGAAAACGACCCATTACATACAGTTTACCGAGTCGAAAGAACCTGTTATGAATCATTTCCACCAGAGCATTACCTAAAAGCCAAACAACGGCATTTTACGATCAAAGAACTGTGTGAAACAATTCGATTTGGCCAATGGCATGCTGCATACTCGTTGACCTTTTCGATTGGTATGATAAAAATGATATATACATCTATACATCACTATCGTCGAACTTTGATTAACGCTATTTGTTGATCAACAAATAAACTATATTCATCCGAATACAAATAGATTTTATCCAATATAGTGCAAAAGAAATGTTGTTTTACAGACAATAGATAGAAGAGTTTCACATTAAACACTTCTAACAGATGTTACTGATTTTCTACGGTTTTGTATAGAAATATATGGTTCTAAATTCATGAATACAAATACAGTTCATCAATATCTTCGATATTATTATAGACTATCAATTTATCAAAGAAAGAAAACAGTGTCTGTGAATTGTCGGTAGAATCAGATATAAAATACCATAACCAATTGGACTATCATAATTCTTCCTCTGTTTATATAAAAATATGAAGAAATCAAAATTTGAATAGATATATTTATCGATTCAGGATTTTATATTTAGCTCTAAGGTAGTACAATATTAACAATATTGAATGAAGTATCGTAAACAGATGTCGCCTCTGTATGTTGACAACTGCGTTGTACTGTTTGTCTCATTTTATCTATTATTCGTTTGAACACATTCCAAAAAATATTCATTTCATTTTCTTTTTTTTGTAATTATAAATCATTTTCGATCATTAAATAAACATGCACTGTTTTCTCTATTAGCAAAAAAAAAAAAATTTCTTAATAACCATGTACGCTTCTTGATGTTATTTAGTACAAAATGCCGTCACGTTTAAGGAACATGTAGCATTAGCACGTGAAATATACACGTGAAAATAAAAAAACGCAAAGAGTGTGGATTATATATACAGACTGTATTTCTCATTTTCTTTACAATTACATTGCAGATATATCGAAGTAGAAAAGGTTGATATCCTTTGAATTTTTCAGATATTAAATCTTATTCAAAGATTTTTTCAATTTATTAAATTAACGAATACTACATATCATGGCAAATAACCTTACACGTACTTTTCTTGTCAGTTCAAGAGGTAATTTTTATTTTAATTAGATATGAAAATCGAGTTTTACGAATATTTTAGTCGTACAAACAAGTTTTGTACGTACACTTGCTACTGGACAAGGAAAAAGTCCTATGGATTATGTAAAACAAGGTGTTGACCAACTTAGTCAAGCAGCTGAAAAAGTCAAAGAAGCTGCTAGCAATGCTACATCAACTGTTGTTGGTGCTGTTACTGGTGATTATAATACTAGTAAATTAATAAGTTTGACTTTAAAAGAATATTTTAATCAATGAAATGAACTATTTGTTTAGATAAAAAAGTTGAAGATGCTAAAATACATGGTCAGTTATTTCTAAATTTAAGCAAAACAGAAAAAGAAATTACTATATTTTCTTAGGTAATCGAGCTGCTGATAATTTTCGAAATGCAGCTGACGAAGCACAACGTCGTTCTGGATATGAAACGACAAGCAGCGGTTCATCACGTTCCGATAATTTCACGAGTGGTCAGACAACCACTGATAAAATTAAAGACAAAGCAAATGAATATGTTCAACAAGCAAAATCAACAGTACGAGTTTTTATATGTATAAAAAAGTAGAAATTTTGATTTTTGTTTTCTTCTCAGGCTAATGCAGCTAGTTCAACGGCTAAAAGTTATGCTAATCAAGCTGCTAATAAAGCTCGTGAAGGTAAATTAATTTAATATATATTCGTATTTTTTTAAAATTTTTATAAATTGACAGTTGCTGATGATGTTGCCAGTTCTACTAAAAGTATGTCTTGTTTTAGTTGTACAGATTTCATCTTTCTTATATTCATATTTTATATAGATGCAGCTAATAGAGCATCTGAATGGGTGAAAGAGACCGTAAATATTTATCATAATATTTTACTTTCGTTTGTGAAGATTTTTCATTTTTTAGAAAGATGAGCTATCATCAGATTCTAAACGTAATGCTGATGCAGCTATTAATAAAGCTCGCGATACAATTAAAAGTGGTGCAGATAGTGTCAAATCAGGTGCTAATAAAGTTGCTAGTGAAGCCAAAAGGTCCTTTGCATGTTAATATTCTTTTTGAAATTAACTATTTTTCTCGTATTTCTTTATTTCAGTAAACAAGAACGAAGTTGATCATTGTTAATTATTTTTCATATCGTTCTATGACTTCTTCACAAATATAGTCAAGCAATCATTAGAAACAATCGTATATATTGTCCTA